CACTTTATAAAGTCAGGCAACACTAACCAGGCTTCGTGTGATTCTGTTTATTTGTACCTTACTTTGACCATCCGTTCACTGTTATTGATCATTGTGGAGAGATGCAGACGTTTTGTTTTGTATTGTAGCAGCTATCGGATGGAATCAATACATGGGCTGCACAGGTTGTCGTGTCCGACTATCACAAGTAGAATCATAATAAAAATACACCGGTAAAATGTGCCTGTAGAAAACGGTTTATGCCACAATAGGATAGCAATAGCAAGTAGTCAGTTTAGCTTCGGTTGCTATGCTAACATCACCCATTTTATACCAGAGAAACTTTCATAACAGCGTTGTGATGCCAAACAGCGTCAATTCAGACTGACACACATTCAGGGGAACTGGGGATATGTATCAGCTGCTTGTGTGAGTTGGACAGTGAATACTTTAGAGCGGCCGCTGCAATGTGAGCTAACCGGGAGCTAACGGGAGAAGAAACTCCCGTGGAAGAGCAGCCAGCACTGCAGCGGTCGGTAAATGCTGCAGAAACACATTAATAAACAATGAACCACGGCACTCTGGAGAAAAGCATAAGGTTGGAGAAGTCGTTATTTAATTTAATCTGGCTTCGTGTGATTAAAAGCAACACGATCATCGACCCGACGCAGTTGTTGTTGTTGTGAGCGCCGTAATGCCGTTGGGGAGCAAATCAGCGATGTAAACGGTGACGTTATGACGCAGCAGCGGCAGCACCAGTCGGGTGCTGGGCAGTGTGAACAGAGCGGGAGCAGAAAAGGGAAACCGGAGCTGAACCAGAAAAGCTCCCGCTCGGAGCTAGAAAGGGAAAAGTGCTGGTGTGAAAGCCGCAATAGCTCCGGAATCCGGTTCATTTCAAGCACCAAAAAATTATCCGGCCAGAGCAAAAGCACCACATACGTCACGCTTACGTTGAGGCGGGGGCAGGGGCGGGATCAACTCCTGAACAACAACAAGAAGCCCGCGTTTTATCCAGTTTGTACACAACGATGGAGAAACTTAACAAACAGCAGTGGTCCACTGAAGAATCTGGTCTTCCGAAGAGGTACAGAGGAAGCTGGAGGGGAGCACGCAGTCCAAAGCAATTCTCCAACAATTGCAGAAAGAGATGGCAACCGCTGGTTTTTACCGTACCGTGGAACAGATTGGCAACAAATTAAAAAAAAGTCAAGAAGGACTATCGGGACCAAAAGCGAGACCTCGGACGGAGTGGTAGCGGTCGTCCGAAAACAAGTCCACATTATGACATGCTAGACTCGGTCCTCTGGGACAGACCGACGAGTGGTTTTGGATCCACGGTGAACTCGCTTTCTCTCACGTCGATGATGTTGCAGGACGAGTTGCTGAATGTGCAGAGCTCATTTGATGCCGGTGAGTTATGCATTACCCATTTGTTTTATTTGTGACTTTTTGTTTTACAACATAAACTAAACCATGTAGCTATCGACAGACCTGGTAAGAAAGCTAAAGTTGACCTACTACAGCTACCGGATGTGTGCATCCAAACCAATAATAGCCCTAGCATGCTAATGCTAACAATAATAAACAAGGACCTGTATCCCCATGGCAAAGACAGCTAACGCCTCCAATGTATATTCTTTCTTCTCACTAACGATTTATGATTCATTGTGTTTATATTGTGTTTACAGAAATATCTGGTTTGGAGTGTACTGTGTCGGAACCACCACTGCCGTCGGCGTGTAGCTCGCCAATGCGGATGCAAGAGTCTCCTTTTCCCACAAGCAGCTCTTCCCAGGAATCTCTGGTGAACCTAATCCAGCCAGTGGGCCGACACAAACAGGGTAAGGTTTACAGTGGTCATAATAGTAATACTGTTCCCTGTTGCCATGTGCATTTATCATGGCATAGTCATTGTAGTAGTTGTTCAAGTTATACAACTGCAGCCATAAGAACAATACAACATTTCATTACACAGTATATAATATACATCTCGTAAAATGCCATGAATACGGTGTTGACTTTATTTTTCTCTTTTTGTAGTTAAAAGGAAGCGAGATTTATCATCTGGCCTTCTGGAGTATCTGGAGAAAAGTGAGGACAGGGAGGAAAGGCTTCAGGAGCAGGGCCAGGCGTTGCTTAAGGAGCAGGGCCAGGCGATGCTTAAAGGGGAAAGGAAACCGCTATACAGCTATAATATTCCGGTAGTTTATTCATTTTACAATGGATATTGATCGTTCTATTTATTGTATATGATATTACTCACCAAAAGAAAATTAATTATCCGCCGGCCGGGTGGGGAATTCCGGGACCGCCATTAGGGGAGTCCCAAATGGTGACGTCACTGGGTGGGTCTTACAACGTAGCAAATATGGCAGCGATGGAGGAATTTTGCAATGAGATCGACGTTTTGAACGATGAATTTGACTATTCGTCGGGAGATGACATTGATGTGGAAGCATCTACAGTTACCAGGCATCCCATGGCCTATGCTTATGAACCGATTCGGTCGAATACTCGAGTGGCATACGATCCGGAATCCGCCGAAAGTATCGACGGTTCTGAACTCGCCGAGTGGGATACCACCAGTTCCAGTACCGACTCGGTCTCAGTGGTCAGTTGACATATATTTTGTATTATTTTCCAACACCTCATACATCTTGGCAATACCATCCATTGAACACCTAGTCCAGCAATACTAGCCTTTTTAGGGCTGTTTTCGACAGATGAGCGTATGTATGCCAGTTTAATTAGTTGAGCTATAGAACACCCCAAATTCTCCATTGTACGTCATAATAATAGCTACCATTTAGTTTGGACGTGATTGCGTTAATTAATAAGGTCACACTGTGTCAGTAAATACATGTGTGAGCTAGTAATCTGGTAGTGCTGCAATATTTACCTCTCTCTCGGCAGCTGAAGCAACTCGTTTGGTGGCTCGAACTTCACGTTTGTTGACACTGTCATTGTCTTGCGCGGCCGACGTGCTGGGACGGTCGGTGTTCCCGACTGCATACGTTGAGAAATCGAATATTGTGGGAACAGATCCTGGCTTCAAATCCGATGTTTTGTATTGAACCAGGCATCCAGACTCATCAAACCTCATTTTGTGGACATAATCGTCATTTTTAAAGTGTTTGCTGCACACACGTGCGTACTGATTCAGCGGCGGATCGGACCGTTTCATGGAAATAACCCATGCTTTGATCAGCTTCTCATCTGTTAGTGGCAGCCTATGGAAATGTACTTCTTCCTTCTTCGTATAAAATCCATTTGTGCAGCCTGGGGCAATACAATAAACTCCTGACGACGACCGTTTTCTTTTAATGTAAACTACTGGTGCATTGCACGCCATGTTGTTTGTTATTGAGCTTTGGCCCAGGAAGCCGTACCCACTCAGTGACGTCACTGGGAAAGTCCCGGAGCAATGGAAGCGCCCATGGTCATTAGGCACGTATTTCAAAAAATAAATGTGTGTATCTCGATCGTTTACATTGGAAATAGACTAGATAAATACATTTCCTAATGGGAATATTGTCGCATGGAAAGCAGTTTGAAAAGTGTTTCCATTTCCCTTTAAGGAGCAGGGCCAGGCGATGCTTCAGGAGGTGCATGTGGCCAATGCTGAGTTCCTACGAGTTTTCACCAGAATCGAGCAGAACAGCCACTCAATAATTGGCATGGTAGACAGGCTTGTGAAGGTGATGGAGGCCAACAACAAAAGCTGACCATATTTTTTTATGTAAATAGTTCATACCTTGTTTGTATACACGTTCTTTTTTTGTATACACATTATTATTATTATAGTATATTCGCCACACTTTTTGGTGAATTATTGTCCATACATGTCTTTGATTTGTACAATAAACAAAATTCAAAAGTCATGTCTGATCCATGGATTTTATTGAAAAAACGGATAGGCATGTGTATTTGAGTTAAGAATATAGTCTAAACCGTTTGGGTATGCACTTTTTTATAAGAATATAGTCTAAACCACATAAATGACTCTGGAAACGCTGCAGATAGAGCCATAAGAAAGGAATGCAACTGATTGAATGTGTAATCTTTTTATAGGCAACAATTTAAGCTTTGTTAGTTCCAGGTTTAATATTACTCAGATGTGAATCATGTGTGCAATCCTTATCATTTAAAGTGCCCATAAAATGATGTTTGAAATGTAAATGTATACTTGCAATGTCTTCCTAGGAGAAGGCCCACTCACAGATTGACACACATTTAAATACAGGGCATTCACTTATGATATGACATACTGTACATTATATATGAGCCCCATCAATACAGGCTAATATGATGTTTTTTATTCTGATAACAGTATAGAAGCATCAGTATAAACAAGCTACATTGATAGGGATCCTTTTTCTTTTTATTTCCTGTCAAATTAATTAATATAGTTTTTAGTAAGAATATACTATTTTGATAAAGGGTAATAAGATTGAGTATTGCCAATAATGAAATCAACATGTTCCACTGTTGTGTAGATGAACAGCAGTCATTGTTATTATGGATATATAATAAGGACTGCATGGTTGAATGGTTATATGATTTTGGGGAGGCCAGGACTGTATGATAATGTTCTATATTATTTGTAGTTCTTTTGTCCAGTTTCAATTGTATTCATAACTCGATGTGCTTTTTATAGTTTTTTTCATTTGATTTTACAATATAGTCTAAACCACAGAAATGACTCTGGAAAAGCTGCAGATAGAGCCATAAGAAAGGAATGCAACTGATTTGATGTGTAATCTTTTTATAGGCAACAATTTAAGCTTTGTTAGTTCCAGGTTTAATATGTGCAATAAGTTCATTTCAATACGTTTTGCAATAAACATTGAACCAGTCCGGCCCTCGACTAGTACCCATCTATTTTTATTTTGGCCCATTGTGTATTTGAGTTAAAAATATAGTCTAAACCGTTTGGGTATGCACTTTTTTTATAAGAATATAGTTCATACCTGTTTGTATCTAGATGCTGTGATTTGTATACAAAATAAACACACTTCAAGTCTGATCCAGTGATTTTATTGTACAAAAAAAAGAGGCATGATACAAAATAGATCAGGTTTAACTGCAGTAATATTAGTGGTCCCCCATGTTGAAATAGTCCATCAATGCGGATCTAACATCAGCTCCTTCTTGTCTACCATTATCTGGTAAGGGGTGTAAAGCGGGTTGGTCGTACACAAGTTCATGGCAATCGTCAGTGAAGTTGTCGCTATGTTCCTCACATATGTTGTGTAGTACACAGCAAGTCACTGTCATTATTTTGCTGAGCTCCAGCTCGCAGTCGTTCCTTTTTAGGAGGCACCTCCATCTTCCTTTTCGCCTTCCAAACGCCATCTCAACAACCGACCGTGCACTGCTCAGTCTGTAATTGTAGGTGTGCTGTTCAGGGGTCAGTCTCCCAGTGTCTGAAAATGGTTTCATTAGCCATCTTTGCATTGGATAGGATGGGTCACCAATCAGGTAATGTCCCACATCACAGCCAGAGATGGTCATTTTGTTTTGGCCTAATGGATAATCTCGGGGTGCTAAAATAGGGATGTGACTTCCATCTATTGCACCAACACACTGTGGTGCTCTCCAACGTCTGTTGAAAAAAGTGGCCATTTCCACCAACTTCTCCACATCAGGAAATGTGATATGTAGTGGAAGCAGCACTTCCATGGTTGCCCAGCAGAAATCCTGAACACAGAGGCAAACGGTGCTTTGGCCTACCCCGAAAAGATGGCTGATGGTCCTGTATTCACCTCCGGTGGCCAGCTTCCAGAGGGCAATTGCAACCCGTTTTTTATTGGGTATACACAGACGGTAATTTGTGTCTCTTCTCCCCATAACGCCGCTGACCTGGTTGCAGATGTAGTCAAAGGACTGCCTGGACACGCGGAAATTCTAATGTTATACCATAGTAATTAATTTAGCAAAGCTGGGTAGTTTGAGCTTGGCGCATGCAGAGGCTAACAACAGCTAACTCTAACATTGAATAGGACGTATATTTACCTTCTTTCTCCTACGGAATCTGAATCGTCGTTGATGTTTAGGATTGTAAAGCAGTTTTGAATTTAGCATGTAACGACTGTAAAGTTGGTAGTAAAGTCGTCCCATTTCTTCCATTTCGTTTCGACAGAGCAAAACCAAAACGAGTAGCGCTTCAACACAATCGGCCATTGTTGTTGTTGTCGGTGTCAGCTGTGAGGGTTTTCCGCGCGGTTTGGCTTTATGAAGCAGGCACGCAAACGGTTACGTCATGACGCAAACGATGACGCAATGACGCAGCACCAGTCGGACTCTGGGCGGTGTGAAAAGAGCTTCCGCTACACCGAAGAACCAGTTCTGAACCTGAAAAGCTCTAGCACGGAGCTTGAACTGGAGTTGCGTTGGTGTGAATGAGGTATGAGAGGCTGCTCCGCTGCGGTGTGAAGAGGAAAACCCGGTGCTTTTCAAGCTCCAGCTCCGAACCGGCCCTGAAACACCGTTGGTGTGACCGACACATCACCAGTGTTGCCAACTTGGCGATTTTCTCGTTAAATTTGGCGGCTTTCCAAACCCTCCGGCTACTTATTTGTGTCAAAAGCGACTAACGACTAATCTAACGATTTATAATGGTGTTATTAGGGACTTTTCTGGTGTTTGGAGACTCACGTATTGTTCTGCAGTTAACGAGCCGCGGGTGCTGCCGTGAGCCCCGCCTCCCTCCCATAGTACAGTTGCCTGGCCGCAGCAGAGCTGCTGCTGCAGTCAGAGCAGAGAGGAGACAACCACACTCCCCCGCGTCGAGACTGCAAATGAATTGCGCATGCGCCAACTGCCAAGCCGTCCTGGTTTTGAGCGGGATTTAAATGTAAATGTTTCTTCACTCACTTTCACACTATAATAAATAACTGCCTTTGCTTTGCTTTGCCTCACACAGCCTCAGTCACTCAATCACCTCGTCCACAGTGTGTGTGCCTCTCTGTGACAAGCTAAACATCATGGCACAGTCTAAATTGTATTCTCAAAAATACAGAAAGGAGTGAGAATCAAACCCTGAGTATAAAGGATGGTTGAAGCCATTTATTGGAGATGACACACGGGCATACTGCCTTTATTGTAAGGGGGATTTCTATGCCAAACGGTCTGACATCAAGAAGCATGTTAAAACCCAAAAACATACTCAAAAGGCCTCTACCATTCCTGCCAATCACACACATATGTTTTGGTCATGCCCCAGCCTGAATGCCCTCTGGTCTAGTATTTTCAAAACCCTTGAGCAGGCCCTTAACACACCCATACCCCGTAACCCTCTAACTGCCTTGTTCGGCGTCCCCCCAACACAGAACATGCCCACCACGACTCAGCGGGTCATCGCCTTCACAACCCTGCTGGCCAGGCGTTCCATTCTTCTTACGTGGAAGCACGTCTCCCCACCCACACATGACAGGTGGATACAGGAACTATTACAGTGTATTAATCTCGAAAAGATACGATTTTCACTACAAGGATCCCTGACACTCTTTCATAAGACCTGGACTCCCTTACTACTGCTAATCAATGACCTTACAATCAACCCTGATGCTGATGAGGTGTGAGTGAACCCGGTGGGGGGGGAGGAGAGACCTTCACTTCCCCCTTTCCTTATCTCCCTAATACATTGACCATTACTTTTTATGTCTTCTCTGTTTCCTCATGTAACTTGCAGTACCGTTATTTCCCTGGTATTTATTTTTACTGACTATTAACTTGAAGAAGCACCTGTATTTTTATGTAATTTTCAGTTATTGGTCTTTGTATTTCATGTAATTTCTACCCCTCTTCTTTTTTTTTATGCTGGTGTTTTATGTTTTGTAACTTTTTGATTTATGTCTTGTTTATAATGTGATCATAGCCCATAGGGGTGGGGGGTGGGAGGGAGGGGTGAGGTAACTATTTAATTTTCCTACAGACCATCTTCTATACATGTGTACCTACTGTATTGCCATTGTGATGTCTGTCAAAAAGCCAATAAAAAGATTAAAAAAGAAAGAAAAAAAAGGCCTCTACCATGCTCTCTCCTACAACCGCCATTACATGATATGCAAATTAGGCGATGACGTCATTTCGCGACTTCTGGCGACTTTTCGGACAGCCAATAGCTACTTTCCTTACTATGGAGTTGGCAACACTGCACATCACTAGTTTGTGCACAGATGGAAGGCTGACAGGCAGGTAGGCCATCCAGTTATTTTAGCCGGGCCGGCTAAAATGATTGGTCGTGCTTTTTACAATACTACGGCTTCCACAGATGACATTTTTTTATGGATTTTTTGTCAAAGCACTTAAGATATTCATTGCTATTGGGATGTTAAGAGCATTCCATGGAATATAACAAAAAGTGTATCTCGAGCCGGTTTCTCAAACTTACCTACCCCACCTTTAAGGCTACTAACAACTTTTATTACACGGCTTAGTTGAATACTCGATTCTGATTGGTCAATTCAGAACACGTGACACGTATTACAGACGTATTACAGACGTAGTACAGACAGGGACTATAATGGGCGTTGCTATGGAGGATCAAGAAAGAGAAAGGAAAATAGGTTAAAACATGGTGCGCTGGACGTCAGATACATCATCATATGTACGTAGGCAGACAGGAAGTAAACAGTAACAGGAACACGATGTGGGCTCTGCAGTGTTTAATGACTTGTTAGTGGATCATCAGAAACTGTTAACAGAGTTGGCCAGTACTGCCGTAAAGTTGTTGTTGTCGCAGTTCCAGCCGGAAGAAATACGATCATTTTAAGTCAATAAAATCATTTCAATTAATATTAGGAGTCGAGTCCTTAGTTTGCTTAGTATCTGACCGTGTAATAAGTGGGATAATGTGCAGGGGCTTGGTCATTATGGGGAAAAGAACACCCTTCATGCTCATCAAGATCAGCTTGTCCCTCCGACAGGCTTCTTTCCCCACAATTTGTCTCTGGTGTCGGAATGTCTTGCGATGTTGATGAATTCTTAATAAACAAAACACCATTTAATTTCGGGTTAAAATGTGTTGTAACTGCGTTACTGAGAATTGTAACGAGTAGTATATTACCCAAATTTCATTAGAAATGCGTTACATTTCTTCTTTACAGCAAAAAGTAATACAAGATTAGCCTACTGTAACTCTGTTACTTTTGTAACGCGTTACACCCAACACTGCTCCCCACTGCGACTGCTGCGTCACATGACTGGTGATTAATATAGTTTCACAGTAGAGCTCAGACCACCTACTTGATATGCTCTATAACGGTAAAAATGATCATCAAAAACAAGTCGAGGCAGACTGGTAGAGCTACTCATTCAAATGTTATATTACTATAAAAAACAGCTTGTTCGAGTGAGTTTGCAATGATCAGAGGAAAACATCTGGACTGTCCTGGTGCAGTAAACACTCCCACATCCTCACTGTGTGTGTGTGTGTGTGTGTGTGTGTGTGTGTGTGTGTGTGTGTGTGTGTGTGTGTGTGTGTGTGTGTGTGTGTGTGTGTGTGTGTGTGTGTGTGTGTGTGTGTGTGTGTGTGTGTGTGTGTGTGTGTGTGTGTGTGTGACTAGTTCATTTACAGAAATGGGTCACTGTGCATGTTACATAAACACACACACACAGAGTTCCCGTTAGCCGGTAATTACCGGACTACGACCGGTAAAATATGCTGAAGACCGGCAAATCTAAATCTGTCCGGTCAAAGTGTCCGTTCAAAAATAATTTCCGCTTAGCGCAATACCACATCAGTTGCCCAACTTGCGCCATTTATGTGACAGACAAAAGAGTATGTGACAGACAAGAATAGTCCATTCTAATGTCTAACACGTAATGTGGAGAAAGAGATGTCCTGTATGGGTTGATTGTGCGTTGATCTGTTGGTAATGCCTCGGGGTTCCGGTGGGCATGTAAACAAATACATAATGCTGCGCTTGTGGTGACCACCTATTAATACACTGGTTCATAATTCACACATGGAACTACAGTTGGGGTTTTGTTTCCACACGGACATGTTGTGTGTTGACTATATATGTTGTGTGCCCTCCTGGCTTCTCTCTCTTCTTCCCGGACTGCAACCGGACAACATGTCCTTTTCTGCTCCGCAATAAAGTTCACTTTTGCACCTCCATTGCACCGCCTCCGACTTCCTATCTCTCGGCACTACACGCTATACTTTGCGGCCTCACCCGGTTGCATAGCAACGCTTATTGTTTAGGTGTCTTTTAATAATCAGGTAGTCATATCATTAGCTAGAACTAGCTGGATCTGATCGATATGGACATAAACGCGAGTGAAGTCTAATCTGATGGGAGAGAGAGATCAGCTGCTGCTGACGAGTCGACACGCAGCTCTGCATGATCACATGCAGCGGTGAGCGGAACAAAACACACACTTCAGGTTAGAATATCACACATAGCTATTTCAATTACCTCTCAAACTACCTAAACTAGTTATAGATATGTTTAGTTTTACAGTCGGGTGACTCATCACTGATCCGCGAGCTGCATGATACTGACGGGCTGTCAGGAGAGGGAGAGCGCTCCGTTTATTATTCACGTGTTATTGTAAGTTACTGTTCACTTTTGAATAATGTATCAACTATAATTAGTTTGTTTAATATCGAATCATATCAATTTGTTTTAAAGCACAATAAATAACAAAGAAGACCTTTGACCAGCACTTTTCTCATTTTGTCCGGAAGATTTAAACTTTAACGGACACGTTGACCGGCGAAAACATATTCTAACGGGAACTCTGACATACTCACACAATCCCTTTCCACCTTGGGTTCAGACGAAAAGGAAGGAGGACATTTCCTTTTCACACACACAAAGTGAAACTAGCTTCCCATGCAGTTCTTTCACCCCCCGGGGGTCGGGATGACACCACGTTCACAGTGGAATGGGAATGACCCGCCGCCTCCATGCTCCCCTTTAATCCCCCCCCCAACCACTTATCCACTGGGATCTCTAAATCTCTCTCATCCTTTCTTCAAGCGGAAGTAAGTGGGTTTGCGTTCACACCGGACGCACATGACGAATCTCTGTGGCCTTCCAAACACTGGAAAACAGCGACCCAGGACAAGAGGCCCTTCACCTCCAACCCGTGACACGTGCTCCGTAAGTCCGTAACGGACCGTAACGGAGACCGAAAGAGAGGCAAGAACAAAAGATGGAAAAATAATATGTAATGAGAAAACTACCCCAGTTT